ATGGGCGCAGTTTTTCGGGGGGAGGGGGGGGGGCATTTTGCACTTTTGCTACTTCCCATCGACGTGTCGACCTATCTAGACAGCCTCTTCTCGAGTTGACAGGTTTTAACATGATGGCTTGACGACCTTGTTCCAGCTTCACAAGTTTCGCCAGAGTGAGACATGTAAACCGGAACTAAGGAAGCAATGATAGTGCAAAATGCCCCCCCCCCGTCCCGGTCGTCAAACTGCGCCCGTGTTAATATGCGTCTATTACATGTGCATGCGCTATTCCTTAGAAAAAAATGAGACGTTTGGAGGTAGGCACGCACCTCCATTGAGGCAATTGTACCACCGGCAGGTGCGGTACAGATAACATGCATTCTTCTACATCCTGCAGCTGTGTTCGTCAACATTCTGAAATGGGGCTGTTCAGTCAATTGAAAAAATCGATTTTTCCCGGGCAAACATATATGGAATGAGCTCTGCTTGGGTAGCTGTATTGTTACTGTAACTACTGTATGGGTGTGTGTTGCTAGGTTCGGCCCCGGGTGAGCTCTCAGCCGTCTAAATACTCAAAACAGGAAAAGCATACGATTGGGAGATCCACATGGGGACAGGAGTGGCCAACTAATCTAAACATGACAAATTTAGCATTTTCACAAGAAATCAGTCAAGCTCTTAGTGCGAATGCGGCCTACGTGATGCTGCATTCCCGCCACGTCGCTGCAACATGAATCTCCTGACCGACAATTTTGGAAAAAATCCCCGTTAGGTGTGTTCACAGATTCAGTAGGTGAAGGCGCTGTTACAGGCATTATGGGTCTAGGAAATAGTTCAGAAAATATCAAGCGAGTCAAGATTCTGTTCTGCAAATGTTACCCCTTCCCACATTGGTTATGACGGAAATCCATCACAACTACTCACTTGATAGTTGGTTTGACAGTTCCCGCTCCACTAGCAGGAATCAGTGTTACCTTTGCTGGCATGCATTTCCCGCATAGAGCTGAAAGAGTACATGTATAATCGAGGCAAGCAAACGATTTAAACTTAAGAAGGTGACAATCGAGCGCGCGGATGCGAAGCGATCGGCGCAGCCAACTGGCGGGAACAACGACGCATTTTTGAGCTCGATTCACTCTGGAATTAGCATAACCATCGCACTTCACCCTTACTTCAATTTTTCCATAGTTGCTCGACAACTCACATTGCCCCTCCCCCACGCTCTACAAATAGCACGAGGAAGGTGGAAGTATCATTCTTTCAGGGAAAATCCTGAAGATATCTAATATCTGTTAAAATTTCGCATCCGATAGCAAAAACCTCCAGCAGACGCTTCCCAAGTGTGTTCGAACACGTTTTCTGCAAAGCTGTTTTTGGCTACGCCTCCAGGAAACAGACAGCTTACAGCGCATCAAGATGCAATTTTTCGATGAGAGACTGGCTCCACGGGAATTAAATCGTGACAATCTTACCTACAATTCCATGATTTATCAGAAAGGATTCAATCAAATGAGCTCAAAACTCACGTACTGGCTTCTTGGTCGTGGTGGCTGCCTGAAATAAGGCAAGTGTGGTAAAGCAAGAAAAATCCCTAATTCTAGATGAATGTACTCGTGAAGAAGCTTTTAGGTACTTTCAGGAAAAGTTTTCAGGGTAGATCAACTCCTTTCTGAGACTCTCTCTATTATAATTTTTCTGTTCGCTGTAGCAAGGGGGTCCTCACCCTTGGGTCATTCCTCGTCTGGGGTACTGAAGAATACTCAGGAAAAGTGGTGCGGCTAGATAGATAATTGCAGTTGGGAAGAATTTCAGGGAAGAATGGTAGGCATCCCGATAATCGCTGGACATTAAGCTTTAATTAGCCTGCTTAATGCTGATGACTGGATCCCATTGAGGTCCCCTACGGAATACCGATCGCGCTCTTCTAGCTTCAAGTCGAAATAAGAAAGAATAGAAATAAGTTATGGTCGTCCCCACCCTGATGGTGGACATGAACTAGAAAAAGGAGCTAGCGAAAGTGCAAACTGCCCACCCCTCCTCCGTCTTCCAAATGCCGAAGAATTCCCATTTCAATAACGTAAGTTTCATACCAAGGCACTGCCAACAAAGGCGAGAAGTAGCACGAGTTGTAGCCGTCCGCTGATCATTATGAAGCAGGTTGATGGCATCAGTGGGACCATCAGCGCTTTTTATGGACATATTTCGTGATTAGAGATCAGTGCAATCGTTGGCCAATGGTCGGCTGAAGGTTGGAAAACGAGTTACCGTTCGGGGTTGACGGGTTAAAAGGATTAATGGGACCAACAGTTCTCGCTAAGCTCCGAATTCGCAAATCCGAGGATAAAAAGTCAACGACGCTATCTATGTAGTAACAGACTACGACATCTCCGAAATAGTCATGGTTAGAGGAGAAGTGGCTGGTGAGAAACGTTCCTAGCTCAGAGCGAATTTTCAAGACTGTTCCCCCTTACTGCCCCTTGTTCGGGATTTGGGCCCATTTTTGATCAAATTTGGCCACTTCGCCCTGGGAAGGTATCTTTCT